CACGCTTTCCCTTCCCTGTAGGGTGCAATGTACGTGTGTACAATCCTTCACTTTGCATAGGAAAAGCACTGGCTAACTGTTGCAGCCCATCTTTTCCGTCATGTTGTTCAGGCCTTTTTAGCAGTACACGGAAAGACTTTGCAAGGAGGACACATGTAGCTTGCGAGTGTAAAGCAAATATTGATTGGCTAGCAACACAAAATATTGCTAAGATTTAATGAGCACCTCAGAAAAATATCATGCTCACCATCCCTAGAAGACACATGACTAGTCACTGGTGGCCAGGAAGGAATCAGTCAGATGGGGAAGGGCTGGTCTCTGAGGATCCCTGGGACGCAGCCTCTGTGTTGCTGGGTTGCTTTCATATCCCAGGTCAGTGGACACAGATAGCTCTGATGACCCCATCAATCACGACCTCTGGGTTTTTTTCACTTTAGGTTTTTATACCTTTCCAAGTTGGTGTTTATCACTTTGAATCCTTCAGCATGTAAAAAACATCTCAACAAGCTTAGTCCTGTGTGCGATCTTTCTTTTCTTATTTTACTGTGAACTTTCTTACAATTGCTTTAGCAATTGCAACCAAAGGGACAAAGGGAGTGGGGGGGCGGGAGGCAGGCTGCCATTTGCGCAAAAAGAGGCACATATTTGCTGCCACAATTTGGAGAGCAGCAGAGACATGAAAGATTTTTGTGTGGCATCTCCCAGCAGCAGAGGCAGTTTAGCCAGGTCTTAAGAAGACTCAAGAGGAGCAGAAGGGGAGGTAGTGTGATACAGAGTTTTGCATGGAGGACACCGGCAAAGGCCTGTTTCATGCCTCAAGTTTGCTTTCCTGGGGACAAGAGCCTGGTTGCAAAGAATAACTCAGCCCACAGTGCCAAAGCAACCAGGAATCCTCCAGATCAATGACTAGCAGGCTGTGCTGCCATTCAGTGAGACCTGGACAGGCTGGAAAGTTGGGCAGAGAGGAACCTGATGAGGTTCAACAAGGGCGAGTGCAGGGTCCTGCATCTGGGGAGGAACAACCCCATGCACCAGTACAGGCTTGGGGCTGACCTGCTGGAGAGCAGCTCTGCAGAGAGGGACCTGTGTGTCCTGGTGGACGACAGGTTGAC